ACCCCCCCCCCCCCCCCCTCTCTCTCTCTCTCTCTCTCTCTCTTACTTTTCCTCTCTCTTTCTCTTACTTTTTCTCTCTCCATCTTGCTTCCCCAGGCCCGCCCCACCACCTTCACCCCTTTTTTTTGTGCATATAGATCTAGATCAGATCTATATTCCCTCCCATACCGTTGCCCACTGCCCGACCTTACTAAATTAATTATAATTATATTATTCTTTGTAAAGAAAAGAAAAGACCACAGTTCGCACTGGATCACCACGGTCGGCGTCCTTTTTTTTGTAAGTTCCTTGGCTAGATCGTAGAAACCGATGAAGGCCAAGATCGAATTGCTTGTCAGCTTCACATCCGGTACACCTAGTGATTGTGCACGCGCATTGGAGCTTGAGTCCGAAGAGCCACGGAAGGCTATTCGGACTCGAGTCCGAATAGCCGCGGGAGGCTGTTCGGACTCGGAGTCCGAATAGCCGCGGCCATATAACATAGGTCTATACTAGTAGTAGTCATTGGCTTTGCTTTAGCTTGGTGGGTTGAACGTTGAAGCCGGTGACTAGCTAGCAGTTTGATTGCTCTTCTTACTTGTTTTTATTTTGAGTCGCTTTCTGGTCGACGCCAATGATATTGATAGGCTGATACTCATATAAAATCAAGTCCAAGTAATCAGTAATGTCTCTTGAAGCCTATTCTGACTGTTCATTGAGTGGCACAATCATCATTAACAGCGTTTGGAGCAAGAGCAAGTGTCTCACAGTTATCACTATCACTATAATTTTAATTGTTCATTCATTGTTAAATCAGAGTTGTTCTTTATATGTACTCTATGTATGTATACACACACGCTCACACACACACACATATAAATTGAATAGATAGATATATATAGATAAATATGTCGATAGATCCATGGATCAATAGATATAACAATAGATAAATCTGAGAAAAAATAATGTGTAATTTTCTCACACAGGTAGCCGGTAAACAAAATGTCAAGCACATGTAGAATTCTGGTTCGTTTACAAAAACAGCATGAGAAACCTGTACTGGCAGAATTCACCCAGGTTGGTAACATTCTATAGCTTTTGAAGTTGAATTGTATTCTAAGTGCTGTCCTAGTGCGCCCCCATGTTAATATTTTCTAGGATGAACTCCCTTCTCATCACTCTATTCTAACCAACTAGGGTGCCACTACCCTGCACCCTGGTATACAAACTGTTCTCTCCAGCTCCCAAACTTGTTAATTTACTGCATCATTAATTTGGTTAATCTTTTTACTTCGGCCATGTTCATTCCTAATAAATTGTGTATACAGTATTACTGTTTATTAAGTTTATTTTTTGTAAGTAGGCTACCCTCGTACAAAGTGAGGTGGTGTGCGGATGTGAAATATAATATTATGTTCCTGCTGAAATCAAGTTATCAAAAAGTAATCACAAGTTTTAGTCTAGCACCTGCGTTTGTCGCGTCTGCGATTTTTTCACAGTTTTTGCCTAATTAAAAAAAAGACAAAAAAAACCCAAACCCACCACCGTGGAATAATAAATCGATAAACAAATCACGGGGAATAATAATCGAGAAACAAAAAACCCAAAAATAAAAAAACCGAACCTCTTTAACTTTACTTTACTTTTAGAAAGAAAAACTAGAAAGATTATTTTATTTCCACTTCATATCGTCTCTTTCTCACTTGTTGACACCACGTTGACTTGTTATTTTCAATGAAATTTCATGTGAAAAATAAAAGTACATTACATACTACATGTATTTATTTATGTATTGCTGTTTCTCTTTAATTTGTCCCTCTTTATTGTGTTTTAATTTTCCTTGTTATTGTTCTGATGTGTCCTTTTTTTCTGTTTTTGATGTCTATATAAAAGGGTTTCATGCTCGCCCGGCGAGTGGCGATTTCTGCAAAAGTCCCGGTTTTTCTTCTTTCTCGGCTCATAAATTTATTAGTTCTTGGCCTAGCTTCATAAAACCAACATGAAACGAGAGGTCTATGAGTTCTTTTTGTTTCCATGTTAGTTTCAATGGGGAGAGAAATGCGTAACATTATATAGATTTTTGAGTTAAAACTACAAGGGTCGTATGCGTTCTGCCACAAAGCATGGCACGCAAATTTCTACTAAGCGTAGCGCGTTTTGGACGGTTTATTCAAAACGGAATTTTCCATCGCTAATCGTCGTAGGTGGCTGTACAAATCTTGCGATGCTGTAGTAGAATTGGACACTGAAGAGTTTACAACCCACCCGGAGTGTGTATGATGCTTCTGTAAAGAGTTATGGTAAAATAGACATTTTATCTTCCAATTTTTTTAAATCAACGATGGGAAACTCTCCCGGGGCAAGTTTTATTGATAGATATATCATTTAGCTCTCTAGGAATGTCATTTTTGTTAATGATTAATGTTTTGTAGGAGAAAATCAAACTTCACTACACACTACCCCAGCTCGCTTTGTAAGGTTAAAAACAAAATCACCCGCAGAGCCATAAGTCAGGGGCAAGTAACTCTGGATTTTTAATGTAACTGATGTAAACAAACATCTGCCGTCAATGGTACGACTAGTTCTGGTAGTACAAGAGTGACCAACATTATCATTAACGGCCAAATATATCCTTTTAAAAATATTTGAATACTGAATATAAGAAAGTTGGAACTAAAATGAAACTTTCTAAGGATATTGAAAAATGTGGTAGGATTTGGTCCTCCTTCAATGGGATGAAAAGAGTGAATTTGTATCAGTCCAAGAAGAAAAAGGTTGACTGAAGAAATCGCAGGTCAAGTACTAGAAAATCTTGATCGATGGGCGG